ATAGGCCTAAGATCTTTGATGCCAACACTACCGCCTTTTTTGGGAATCAGAACAAGTCTGAGATTCAACCAAGAAGGAGGGCATCTACCTTCAACAAGAATCCTGGCGAAAATCTTGGAAAGGTCAGCAATGGTACCCTTTTTTCCTACTATTTGGTTTTAATAAAGGAACCCCAAGAGAAAAAGGGGCAAAAGGGTACTACTGGGGAACCTAGCACTCAAGGAATGTCGAGCTTTAGGCCCAAAACCCTAAACCCTAATCCCAAAACCCTAAACCCTAAATACCCTAAACCCTAAACCCTGATAACAAGCACACTCAAGGAATGTCGAGCTTTAGGACCCGGGCCCTTCCAGAATCCTCAAGTAAAGCAGGACCGGAAGGCGTTCGACCAGCTCAGCTGAATAATAAGAAGCCCGCCAAGCCCTAAAAGCTTACGTCCTACACCCCAAACCCTCTAGCCCCAGGCTTATTAACCCCAACAACTTCTTCAACAAGGCAAACAAGGGACTCATTCGTCAGCTTGAAGCCGGCGGAGTGCTCGAAACCGCCGATGTGCTGCATTGCCTCACATACTTTGGGTTTAGGGTTCACGGATCAGCGGGTTAAGGGTTTCGTCATGCAGCTTTGCAAAGACTTACATGCATTTATGGCTTAATGGGTCGAGCCCTAACACCTAAACCCTAAACCGTCTTGACGGGTCAAGCATTCAATTCGAGGTTGGAGCTGCTGAAGGTGGGCGATGGGTTCAGAACCACCACGTGCCTTCCCACCCGGAGCGCCGCAGAGCATGAAACCGAAGTCTACGTGTAGCACCTCGGCAGGAAAGTATTGCACGTGCGTCTGCACTGACAGCGGCCGTATAATCTATCTCGTCTATGCTCACTGCATAGTATATGCGACGATTCTAAGGATGAGAGATGTAGTGCATGAAAAAAGGCACGCCTTACAACTCAGGATGGCGGCTCTTCATCTATGCATGTACGTACGCATGTACTGTATGTACATCTGTTGATCCGTACTTATCGCGGGGGTACCGTAGACACGGTGTTGGGTTTCTGCTTCTAGCTTGGGAGTGTCGGGTGGCAGTGTACAACTCCTTCGCGTGCACAAACCAACTTTCCCTCAACTCGGGTGTCCTAGGTCTGAAAAGTTAACGAATAATCGCGCCGCAGTCCGGCTGAAGAAGCTGGGCATCTGACATGGCCCTCATCATTGAGCATGATGTTGCCTCCCGCTGCAGATATGGATCACCCGAAGCTTCCGTGCTTTACACACAACAGGGAACATAGGAGTTGAATTCGAAGGCCCTGCTGCAATGAAGTACTATACCATACTATACTATGTATTAGCATATTTGATTATATGATGTCATATAATGCTTAATTGCTTCTTAAGATATTGCACAGAAACACCAGCGAAGAAGTGACCTCCCGGAATGATCCCCAGGCCGTAAATCCTAAATCCCTGAGTCCATAAATCTCTAATCAGCCCAAATCCCAAAACTAGCAGCCCAGGAATGAAGCAACTGAGTTTGACACCATTGTGCCGATCTCGTATAGCAAGGACAAAGCAGATCACCGAGTACCTGGAGGAATGGAAAGCTGAGTGTTCAGGGGCTCCTGCAAGGATGAGGCATCCTCTCAGGCTCTAATCATGGGGTTACTCTAAACCCCAAACCCCAAACCCTAAAACCTAAAACCCTCAACCCTAAAATCCTTCCGGTCTTGCAAGAAGCGTCCTCCCCCCTCCAAACCCAAACGCCAAGCTCGAAAGACTAAGAGCCCGACGCGGCCATGGAGTAGATGAAGTTGCTGGTCGCGGTGCGCAAAGACACAGACCTGACGAAGAGTTTTGGGTGCTTGGGTTGAGGGTTTAGGGTTTA